GGGAAATGGGTGTGCAAGTGTGTGCATTGTTCACCCACATGATGGGGGGATTAAGATCACATATAGAAGAGTGCTTTTTGAAGCACTACCACCGACAAATCACGGTGATTCTATTGTATTCTATTGCAGTTTTGGGGGTGGTGAGAACCGATTCGAGAATTCTGGACGGAAACAAAGATCCGAACCTAAATCCGAGCCCATTTTAAGCGGGCCAAGTTGGATTTCGCCACCCAGTTCAGGGCAACTGGCAAGAGAGATGCATCCCGACGTGCCCAACGGGAGCGAGGAGAGCTGAGGGGCTGAGGGATGGACCAGATCTCCCATTCTCAGGCATCCAGTCAACATCAATGTGGACTAGAGTGGCAAGAGGGTGCTGGAAAGGGCGACTGTTAAGGTATTCTCGAATCTCCAGCAGCTTCACCGTCGGTTTTTGAGTCAGGAGAAGTTCAAGCAACTGGTTTGGGCCATGCGCGAGCTGACCAGCGAGAAGGGGCGCAAGAAATGGGCCATTCAAGGCCGGAGATCCGGTGAGGTTTGTTCGCGTTTGGAAGCGAAGGCAGCTTGGACAACACTCCGGCATTTCTTGGAGATTAGCAAGTCTTCTGACGGGATCTGACGTTCGTAAGTGCTTGCAGTGGTTCGCCATTGTATTGGTAACCCTTGCCTGGATGCAGATCGCGAACAGATGATGGAAGGAGACAAGGACACCTCGATTTTCCCACAAGAGTGGCTCAATGCATAAAACATGTGTTGTGGTATAGGTTCCAATACGAAGAGAAGTCTCTTGGGAATCATGGTTCATCCCAGTCCTGCCATTTCTGCACTTGGGAACGCTTGGTCGATTCACCGCCTCTCGGCCCGGGACGGCCGACGGCCCGTCGCCATGAGGCGATCTCATGGGAGTCTCTTTGCAGGAGATGTCTTTGGAAAGCGAAGTTCCTAGGTTTCCAAGTTCCGGTCATTGTTTCATGGTGGCGTCAGTGTCATTTGACAGGCGTGAGGCATAGCGGATCCTTGCTCGGGTCTATATATATTAGGATTCAGTTTGCCACGGTTCGATTTCCTCGTTCTCTTGATGGAGATTCTATACAGGTCTTTGGATCAAGTCTTCCAAGGTGTGCGAAGGTGACTCCCAGCGGGAGGCACAAGTTCCTTGTTCCTTGCAATAGCATCGATCGCATCATAGTACGTACCTTAAGTATCCTTGAGTGACTAATTCAGGCCCTCTCCAAGGTCTCCAGAGTCTGCACTTCATTGATGGAAGGGCCTGATGACCTTATCCTGACCCTGCATTCACCAGCATCAGCTTGGCTGACAAATGACCTCTTAGCAATCCCAAGATCGCTATCCAGTTGAATTGAAGGGACAGTACCTATTACACAGCCTTTGGCTGGTTTCAGGGAGTGAAGCGAGTGCGCATGGCCGGGCACGGCGAAATGATGTTTTCCAACAGGCCAGGTGGCTGAATCAGCAAACCACCCTGTTGTGTGATGTTGTGTGCACACAACATGTGTTGCCATGGGCGTTGTCGACGTGTTCTGGCTGGCATGGTGCCAAGGACTTTGCCTTTGATATGCGCGACTGGCCGTTCGAAGAGCTGGAAGATTTGCTTCGCTTGTCTGAGGAGGCCATACATTGACGGCCAACCATGTCAATGTTGGGATGGCATTCCAGCAGCATTGGCTTGAAGCTATACAGTCTTTTTTGGTTGACGTGGTTGTGGGTCAACCTGCCAGAGTTTTGTAGAGCTGGGTTTGGACCCAGACCCTTTCAATCGCATGCCTGTCATGTGACACTCACAAACTGATTCAGGAAGGTAGATACGAATGTGCCACGATGAGCTATGTAGACTAGACAGACTGAAGTAGATGCAGGTAGCTGACCAGCTTTTGTCAGGTTGAGTGTCACCTAGGTAGGTGAACATGGGCCAATGTAGAGCAACATCCACCAGAACCAACAAAAGGATATATGATTCTGGTGTATATATATATACTATACCGTTACATATAACCCGAGGAAACCCGTAAACATTTTATCGATTAGTGACTGTTTGGCTGGTACGTCGTTTGGCAAATCGCCCCCTCTCTGCAACGCGAGAGGCAATGGACGTCAGCGAAGTCCGCACCACTTGGAGCGATGATGGCGCTTGGACCGCAGTCGTAGAACGGTGTGCTCGGTGACGCGCTTGGGAGAGCGGAGAAGCATGTGGAAGCACGTGGCTGAGAGTCTATACGGTATACATCTGCAGATCTCTAAGTACTACTTACAAATTGCTTAAGTCCTACAAGTGAGTTAACTAAGTTGCAAGTGCCACAAGTAAAACCCAACCACCAAGTGTGTGTCAGCGTGTGGTGTGTTTGTGCTGTAAACCTGTCTTATGGTAATGACCGGATGAGGAGCCCCTAGTAGCGATGCCCTTTGTTACTAGTAGCGTCCTTGCAAGGTGCGGTCGTGTTCGATAGGCTTCTCAAGATCCGCCAGATTGCTCCCCTGAGGCTTCCTGGTGGAGGACCGAGCAGCGGACTCACATGCTTTGACGACCGGGACTCAATGAAAATCCAGTGGCCGGCTCGGCGCACGGGACACAACGGCTTGGACCTGTTGGGCGAACCAGGCGTCGGCCCTGCAGGTTTGTGACATGCTTGAGATGTGCAGTGACATACTTGTGGTAGGTAACCTGTATGTAATACTCAGACATTTAAATACAGCGCCGGCGCATAGCATGTAGCAGTGCAGCAAGCAACCCTTCGGTGTCAAATGGGAACTAATGTGCAGGAGAGAGAAGGCAAGACCGCGCCGGGCCCCCTGAACTTCGACATGATCTATTTCAACAGCTACTTGATTTGAAAAATATCGTCGACAGCTCAATAACGGCTTTGACTTGCTCGTGTTGCTTGGGCTCGTATACTCATCCATTCCAAAATCACAAGAAAAGAAGGAATTTGATTGTGGCACCACATGTCGCACCACGACTTGCTCAGGCCCACCCTCTGGTTAGAGCATTGAACGAGCGCATGCTGCCACATGCTCTAGACTCGTTGGCAGCCGATTTTCGGTCTAAGCTCCCTCGGAGAAAATGGAAGTGGAACATGGCCAGCAGGAAATTGTTTTGCTCTTCAAGCTAGCCATGTTCAGCTTCCATGGTGTTTGAGGGATGCTAGACCCTCGAGTCTGTTGCAAAGGATAATACCTGACTGCTGCAACATGCCACTTGTCGGCAGGCAATATGATTCTACGGCGCTATGGCTCAGACATGTGCAGATATGGCAGGTCAACCTTATATATACTATAGTCCCCCAATCAATCTAAATTCATTCAGTGACAAATTTAGCTCATGCAAATGGAAGCTTCACAGGTTGCAATTTGCATCCTTTTCACACTTACCCCCGAAGCAGTTGACTCGCACAAAAGACGATGTCGGTAGTTCCTAGTTGAGTCATCAAGTGACTCCTGTTGTGCGCGCCTGGTTTATCCGGTGCAGCGGCTTCGCCAGCACGTGCGTTCAGAGCCCCGCAGACTCCACCTCACAGAGAAAAGGAGCGGCTCAGCCACATCGCAGGCTGGATGGAACTTGGACCCTCCGGTCAAAACTGCTGGTCCATCTATGAGAGCTTGCACTTTCCAAGAACCAGCTACTAGCTCGGGATTTATCATGACCTAGTTCGCTGCAGCTGATTATAAGCCTGACAGGTTGACCAAATGTTCGTACGAGAGGAGTCTCGAGCAAAGTGGATCTCTCAATGCCAGGATGGTTTTGTAGGACTCCTCTTTTCCCAGGAGGGACTTAGAAGTTATTTGTTGGCTGTATACTACTTACTCTTTTTGTGAGCTTGGACATGTTTGGACCAGGCCTAAGTCACATGCTAGTGCTGGATCCTTTGGGGGTATTTGGCCTGCTCCAGATTGCCAAGTATGACTGGCGGAACAGAGATAGCCAATTCTTGGAAGTGATAATTATGTTATATACAGTTCTTTTTTGGGGAGAAACTGGGCAGCCATTTGCCATCAGTGATGTTGTCCATCGACTGGGGCGACACTCTAGGAGGAGGACCTCTCTGGCTCGACGGCCTTGATGGTGGCGGCCCGCAATCGTCCACTGGCGCAGTTGGTGTCGCGCCGTTCGGATCGTCTTTTTAGCGTCATGGGCATCTCAGCACATTTGCCGATGGGCATCTAGTCACCTCCAAGTGGAAGCGCTGGTGTGGATGTTTGGCAAGTGCCAATGAATTCTGAACTGGCCATTTGGGAAAAGTGAGGGAAAGGCTGTTTTCAACCAATAGCAATTTTGCTGGTACTAACAAACCGTGGAAATTGCTATGGCACCCGCCTAAGGCCAATAGAGCCTACCAGAAGGATCGAATTGTGGTGTACAAACTATGGCCCCACAGCACGAGATTCAATCCAGGCAAAGTGCGCATAGTGAAGGCCATTGTCAGCTGGGAGCCTCGTTGTACACAGAGTTTGGTGTTCAGCATGGAACGCCGGCAGGGGCGGGAGAAGATTGGGTGAATAGGTCAGGAATGGTGATGCAACACGGATGCTGATGATGGGCTGGCAGCTTATGATCATGGTGGTCCTTGACATCATTTGGTAGATGGGTTATCGTTTTCCCTTGGCGTGTGCAAAGTATTGTATAAATCTAGCGGCTTGCCGGCAACACGTGGATCATGCTACCTCCAGCCACATGTTGCACGTAGCTGACTTCCTTAAAGCCCCAGTCCTAGAGTTGCTTGGATATTTTCCTGGGACTTTGCTAGCTTTCTGGGCGTTTATGCCCGAAAGCTACTACTTGGGATAAAGGCAAAGAGGTCCTGCATGATGATCCTGTTGAAGTACAAGCTACGAGGCCACATCCACCACATGTAAGAAAGTGTTCAGGAACCATGTTCATCCATCTTCTGTGATATAATATAGCAGGATGTGTTTTCTGTGTTTTCCATTTTTGACTCGAAAGACGAGTCGGAAGGGAGTCGTTCAACCCGCGGCGGAAGCTCCACCGCGCCATGTGGATCGATGGATCCCCAGATTGGACCGTCCCGCCCGAGCGGTTGGAGATGCTTCAGGAGTCTGAGGCTGAGAGTCGAGGTGCGAAGCGAGGCTGAGAGATGCGCAACTGACGTTGGGAAGGGTTTAGGGTTGAATCTCAAGTATTTGGGGCGTACATTGTAGCTAGATCATCCTAGATGTTCATTTTTTGTATTGTTCGTCAACTTGGGCGTGAAGCTGTATAAGTCATTGTTTGTGGGCAATGACGATGGACCCAGTGCATCCGGCAGCTGAGGGCTGAAAAGTTTGACAACAAGTTCAACATCCTGAAGAACTTGGACAGCTGGGCCCAGCTTTGTGTGGTGCTTTGGGATCGCAACACTAACATGTCAACAACATTAGTGACATGCTATCATTGTCTCATCATGATTCACTACTCACTACGCCTCGTTAAAGTTCCAGGACACTTGAGACTGTCTCCATGCTGTCTACGGATCCGGCTCGCCAAATCAAAGGGACTTGTCGTTCGCAGAAATGAATGCCATGGCACTTTCGCCCATCATGCTGCACGCGTGGCTGACAACTGTATATCTATGTCTTCCGAGTAGTGAGAATCGATATGAATCCCACTTTTATTAGGAGACGTTAGGAGTGTGTGTCGGTGGTTTATTAAGTAGTTCGGAGATGCTGGGAGCGCTCCTGGGAAATACGGTCCACGACTTCTTGGGATCTGCCGACGTGGTCCGTCCGCTGTCGGCTGTCCGTCGTCAGGAGCTGCTGCGCGTGGTGGGGGCCAACGACCGTACGGCGGTGATACAGCTGGTCACTGCAGGAGGTCCCAGGAGGTCATGTGGACCGGATGAGGTCTCAGCTGTGCCAGAGGATCAGATGGATTCAGGATGATCAGATGGGTGGATGATCAGATGCTCTGAGAATTTCAGAGCTGAGTCAGTTGACATTGGATTGAACCAGGTTTGTGTTGGTCTTCCGAGATGGATGCGTACGAATTCCATGGCACCATGGATTACCATCGGCTCTATTTTGTCCTTGAATCACCAGCCATGGACTCGTCACTGAGGTGGGGGATGGGGTGGGCACCAATCTGGCAGACATCAACTTCCAGGATGCCCAGGCGTGGCAGCTCGAAAGTCGAATGAGCGGAGAGCTCAAGAAGACAGCAGCAGTGACTGGGTGACGAAGAGCTTCTCATTTAGCTTTGCGCTTTTAGAGCTAAACTCCGACGATCACGAAGTTGAAACCGCCCGCGTTCGTTTTTGGGAATATCGTCATGCAAGGGCCCATGTTATCATGTTCCATGTGAGTCGGAACGGAATCAACAAGCTTTGGCGCCCGGATGTTCTTTGTGCAACAAGTGTTGCCCATTGTTGCGCATACCGTAGCACAGGACATATGCCATGCCCCGACTTCGTTTTGAACGCTGTCGCCACATATATGGGTCAACACCGTCAGCAAGGGTTGTTGTGTTCCTGCCGCCAGGGCCGACAGGCCTACCACATCGCGATCCTTTGCATCGGTGATGAGGATACTTGCTGGTCTGAATCCAGGGCAAATCTGTGTGTATTGTGTGTGTAGTATGGTGGATGCTGAGGGTCCTCCAACCAAAACCATCAGACAGCCTTCCGCTATCTCACATTCAGCTGGCATTTCTCTCCAGGAGGAGAGCTGTTCCATGTGGGAGCCCTGGTCAGTCAGCGACGTGTGAGTGCATCGCAGTTCCGAATGGGCATCCAACATGGCAGTAGCTCCCACATATATAGGATCCTATCCAAACCCCCCTGTTGAAACAGAGCAAGTATGGCAGTCAGTAGACCAAACCCGGTTCGGGATTTTTTTGGGGGTGAGCCATGGTGAGCCACATCCATATGAGAGAGTGGGAGACCATGACTCCAACATAGAAACTTCTATCCATGTGATCGGTCTCCAAAGCCCGGCGATCTTATGGGATGTACCGATATGTACAGGGTATATTATTCATCCGATCCCATTTGCCTACAATTTGGAGAGATGTTTTTCATTGTTCTTCACATATTTGATTGCAACATGGTCGGTTAGTGACCTTCAAACTACTAGGCGTTTTTGAGTTTCGATTTTGTCAAGTCTTCAATTCAAGGCTGCGGACCTTGTTCTTGCTAAAGGGGCAGGCGTGTGGGCGGGCTTGGTTCAGTTGAAGCTTTTTGGACCACACCTGGGGGTGAAAACAAAAGGCCACATGATCCGGTGTCCTAAGGCACTTTTGACTCTTCTACAGTGAGTTTTTGCTTTGAACCTTAAGTTTTGCCAGAGCTCCACTGGAAAAAAAGCAGCACTCGACTCGACTCGGTGGCTCGACCATGCTTTTCCCTGACTCGGGATGCCTCACCTGTGCAGATCAATGGCCAAGACTTTCTGGGTCAAACGCCTCTTCACTTGGCGGCGCGCATCGGCCACTCGGCCGTCGCCAGCGAGCAATCGACGTCGGCGAAGGAAGACCACTCGACGAAGTACCGGGATCGGATGGGGGGGGATCGAAGGGTGGAACCGCTGTGGAACTCAAGGGATCCACGGTTAAAATGTTGCAACAGGTGTGAGTAGCACGTCCTTTTATAGTTTCTTGGGGGGATGAATTCTCATCAGGAAAATGTTTCAACAGTTTTGGGAGCTGGAGCAGCCAGGGAGATACTCAATGATCACAAGTTATGCGGCTGACTCTCGGACAGCCTTTAGGAGAACATTGATGAGGGCGTTGTTTCTTGTTCATAGCCCGGTCCATTTGTGGGTTGTTTTTTTTCGCACATGGTCAGGGCAGTTGGTCTCATCAGTCTTCGAAACCCATGGGGTCAAAGCTGGAAGTAAGTCGCCGATCGGATTGAAGCCGATCTTGGCGACCCGTCGCAGATGCGAAAGTGGGTGTCGCCAGCAACCAACCTTGAACAAACACAGCTACTCGAAGCGGAAGGGGCGCGGAAGGGGCTCTTGCGGTTTGCACTAAACCGGTTGGCCTTGCATGGTGCTTAAGTTGACATTCCTCCCTGGCTTTTAACGGCTTCGTCCACCAGCTACACGGATCTACACGGCCTATCTATGCTTGTTCCACGTTCCTTCACGTTCCCGCATGGTGCGCGCAACCACTGGGGTTGAACCCGTTCACAACCCGTTCACCTTGGGACAGTCCCCAACCGTCCAGATCGATCAGACCAGGTCGTTGCGAGGCTGGTCGCGGTGGCTGTGTCGAGGGCCTGTCGATGGCTGTGTGATCGTCCTTTGGGCCCACAATCGTCATGGGGTCACTCCATCTAGGATTCAACCGCTGGGTGTCCTGATGTGTTTGTTTCTGTCTTTTTTTCTCTAGCTCGCGTCCCTCACCAGCCGGGTCGGTCTAGATGCCCCCCAACACATCAAGGGCTTTTGAAAAAAAACACATCCAGATGTGGGATGTGCAAGCAGATTGAAGACCATAGTGACTGAATTTTCATGTTCCTTCAGTTTCCCTTTTGCCTGCGACTTGGCTATCAAAGCATCGGAGTCTATTACCCTTGTATTGCATGATTGCTATTGAGGTAATCAATGACTGGCGTATATAAATATATGTTATTATGTAATATATAACAATAATAACAATAATAATAACAATATATATATATGTATGTACACACCATTCTTTCCTCTATGCTTGTGTGCCACTACAACTTGTGAAATTGGAACATAGGACTGGTGAATCTGAACCGAAAGGACCAGTTCTCTTTTTTGTCCTCCTTTGAACATCGTGAAAAGCGCTACACGCGGACCGAACCTCGGACGAGTTCGGAGCTTCCTTTTCCCCAGTGCGCGAAGACGCTTCTGGCGCTCAAGGCCTGGAAGGGTGTGGAAGTCTGGACGGAGAACGGAGGATCCAACATGGTTGTTTGTTTGTTTTTTGTATTTTTCTTTGGGGTCCGGGGTGGATTGGGATTTGGAAAGTAAGGCCACCCTCAAGCATCACAGACGTTCCTTTGTTGGTAAAAGTTCAGGGAACCATAAGAGAGTAGCGGAGTGAAATTGTGGACTATGATGTGTGCGGGCTTATGGTTGGATCAGCAGACTTGACACACCTACAGAACGTCTCCACCTCTCCACCAAGTGAGGGCTGCTGACTAGTTGTTGGGACTAATTTGGCAAAGGGCGTGGGTGGACTTGAGTCCATGAACGATGATGGTGGTGATGGTGCTATACAGATTTGCCTGGAGATCAATCCTTGCCCTCGATTGTAGTCTTGAGATGTTTGTTTATGTCTGTTTGGAGAACCCTTTTTGCCCTTCGCTTACCTGTCCTAATAGATCAGACTAGTACAGAAGTGGGAGCAGGATGCACTCTCAAAAGTTCCAGGGCCATCCTGAAGATGTTCCATTCCGAGCAGTACTTTCCTATGGCCCCGCCCGCCCTCCAAGGCGCACCCTGGCCTCAAGGACAAGCGTGGCCCGGCACCCCCGGTGAGCCGTTCCAGGAACGGAGATCGGAGAGATCGTCGGAGAGGTCGTATGGTATGGTCGTGTGTGTCCACTGGGAAGCAAATGAGTTCAAATGAACCATGTTCAAAGATGGGAGCCTCAAAGCTGCTGGCTGATAGTATGTGGGGTGTGCGACATGAGAACAAGTTTGGCCCACACTTTCAGAGTGCCATATTGTGAACATACCCAAGTAGTCGAGCATTTACAATCGTTTACACAACTACCCACTCCTTCTTGAAAGACCTTGAAACAAAAGTACACATATATATATAATATATATATATATATGTATGTATGTAACTCTCAATAAACTGTTGCCAAGATTTTGGTTCAAAGGTTCCTTGTTTGTGCCATGCCTCAATTGACCTAACAACCATTTAACCACCAAACAGGCCTTTGGAGAACAACAAACATGGCCGGACCGTGGCCGCCGCGCGGCTCCTTAGGTCGCACGCCTCTCATGGTGGCCGCGGCCGCCAACCTGGATGATCTTCGCGCACCTCCGCCGGGGGTCCCGGAAGGTCGATGAAGGTCGATGTGTTTTGTGTTTTGTCAGTGCAGTATACATGGTGAATATATGAATAATGTCTATAACTATAGATGCATAGGTATCATTTAGACTCTAGACTTAGATCAACAATGAATCAACAACATATGTGTTTCATTGTTGTTTGTGTGTGTGCTTTTCCGGGGTCGAAATGCCTTAAACTGACCTTGGATCTGCGATTCCGATCAGGTTGAGGATTCAGAAGCCTAAGTTGCAGAAGATAAAGCCTCAAAGTTGGCCCATTTGACAGCAGATGCTGGCAGAAAAGACAGCAGTGAAGCACTGAGACCAATTCAATAACAATGTATCCGACTCATTTGGGCATGCTGATGTTGGCTATGGTACTGATCCCACATTTTGTGGCGGTACTGTTGATTTGAGAGCCAAGTCGGCATGGTTCAACTGTAGTCGGAGTCCGATGGCGGGCATGACAATGGCGTTTGAGAAAGGGATGCAGTTGGCGGAAGAGGGCCAGTTTGCTGATGCAATCGCCTGTTGCTTGGCATTCCTTTGTCAGAAGCCACTTTCAACTGTTCCTTCAAGAGATTGCTGAGAATCCTTCGACCACAGGAAATGGAGAGCTATCCTACAGTAAGAGGCCTGCATACTGGAGAGCACCAACACCGAAGAAGATTGCTTCAATACTGACTGTGTAGCGGTACATACCTACATCCGCGATGTCCATATTCACGATTGCTACATACTAAGTTACTAGTACACCACTGTCGTGTATAAATGTATAATGTATATACGCCACTGCTGGACATTTGATTTGCAGTCCGAACTTACCAAGATTACTCAAGATTACTTATGATTACTCAGTACGGTCGACCGGTGGATTGCCGCACAAAATCGCAGAGGTTTCCGCAAGGCGATCGCGGAAGGCTTGGAGACTCCTGAAGTCTTCGAGTGCTTGGCTCAATGTGCCCTGGCAGGTCGAGTGCTTGGCTCCGTGTAGGGTTGGCGTGTTTTGGTCAGACTGCCTCAATAGATCATCTCCATTGGGCGCGCAATGGCGCGCAGTAGACATATGGAAACCATCCGCGATCATTTGAGGCCCCAGAAGGTCCCTACGTGGGGAGTCCCTCATGAGTAGGGATCCCAAAATCTAGATCTCTTCATGAGGAAATGTTATTGACCATTCTCAATCAGTTAGTATAGTAGAGTGCGGTATTATAGAAGATATGACCACATATGACCACTACTAAAAGATCTAAAAGTAGTGCTTCTAATTGAACAGGGCCGCGGCAAATAAAAGATTGACATGTTTGCAATTGTTGAAAAAAGTTTGTCACTACTAGTTTAAGGAAGGCAGGCAGGCAGGGAGGGAGGGAGGGAAAAAAGCTACTTTTGGCCTTTGCTCCTTTCTTTCTCTCCCCTTCCTTTTTTCCTCTGGCAATTTTCGCGGTATTACGCCTGGCCTTTCTTTGTCTCCGTTACGTTCATTTCCTTTTTACTATACGCTTTCTTGGCTTTTCCATGTCAATCCTTTTTCGTTGTTTCTTGTTGAACTTCATTAACCAGACGGAATGAAAAAAAAAAGTTGGCAAAACTAGGGAAGAACGGCGGTTAGTGAGTAGTGTTGCAGGATGTTGCAGGATATTTTTGAGGAAAAGCAGGATCTTACTCATTGGTGCGGGTATTGAGCACCAATTTTGGGACAAAAGACCGGACAGTTGTTTGCAAGGTGGTTAATATTGCAGAAAAGACAGGCCTGGCGGCCTTACTAATAGAGGCGGGTTCCTGCACATTTAAGACAGATGGAAAAAGAATGAATTGGTAAGACATATATACATACACATATACATACACATAATATAGTTAAAAGATGTTAAGCGGGCTGAAAGGGAAAAGAAGCGGTTGGTATTGCAACGTATTGCAGTTTGTTTTCGGTAAAAAGGACCTGACTAATTGGGGGTGTTATTGAGTATCAACATTGGAAACTTGACAGTAAGGTTTGAAAGGCGGTTAGTATTGCAGGACAGCAAGCCCTACTATTTAATGGAGAGGGTTTGCTCAATCATGGATTTTGTGTTGCATTGGTGATGTGCTGTGTTGGTCGACACGTTCAGAGGTCTTGTGTTTTCATGCATTTTCCTTGTCCTGTCCACGGGCAATTGCCGAGTCTGTGGGTAGGCCACCTGGTTGCCCATATCCACTAGTAGCTCCACTTGTGCAGTTTGGCCTCTCTACTGCTACCAATGGGACCGAGTTGGAACAGAGAGCTTGGTTCGGACCGTCGGACTTCGCCGGGAGATGCTGGGTGATTGTGTCCAACTGGTTGGGATAGTTCCGGGCTACTCTTGAAGCACTCGGGGGTGCTGTCACCAGTTGTCCAAATTCCAGGGTGGAGGGTTGCAGGGTGGAGTGTTGCTGCCTGTTTGCTGTAAAGGCACTGCGGAAGGAGACCCATTGCTGTATGTAGATTTGACATTGATTCCGCGGTGTGGGCTGTCAGAAGGACGATATATGGCCCTTTCATGTTATTGTAATATCATGACGCCTTGTGCAGTCCATGTTCCAAAAGGGGTCTAGTCCTATTTGGCTCCGTGCAGCCGCCCGGACTCGGTGCTCAGGCGAGATGATGTTGGACACCTTGAGCTCGTCCCAGCGCGCCGTGGTCGCCGCCCAGGAAGCCCTCCAGCGCCTGGGAGCCGAGGAGGCACCTGGGAGGCTGAGCTGGGCAGCTCGGGTGCACCAAGCAAGGAATTGGGAGAGGCAAACCGGGACTAGGGAGGGAGGGCACAAAGAATCAATGTGAGACATAAAGAATTACAGGATCCGCAGGTGTTTGTTTCTAGATTCTGGTGTTTTGCTTGGAGCAAGTTGTTTGGTTTGAGCCTGCACTGGAGGAGCCTTCCGGCCTTCCGGAGGGTGGTTAATCCTGTCCTGTCCACCTAATAACAAACCTAATTAAAAACACGGGCCCCCCCAATAAGGAAACCTCTTTTTCGCATTTTTTAAATAGGGGGTCCTTGAGATCGTGGGTTCCAATTTTGGGTCACGTGGGAAGAGCTTCAATACCAAAAAGTCACCCAGTAAAATTTTATATAAAATAGCTTAATAAACTCGTATCAAACATTCAAACTCCAGATGGAAGGGTTTTCTTCCTTTTCCCCTACAACAACCTGTATTAGAATAGTGATTCTTCAGTAAACTAACAACTAAAGCTTTCGAAAGGTGATGTCGCTGTGCCATGCGGTTTTGCATGACCTCGGTGGCAAGTGCGTTTGCGTGAGTCCGTGCCATTGAGGGAAGGAAAGCCTGCTGGTGTAAGCGCGGCGTGTCATGGTGGATAGATTTGTTTTTGGAACCTAATAATAAATACTCTTCCAAAATCGGCAATGGTTCAGTAGCGGCTTGAAAGGGCGGTAATTAAAAACGAGAATGAACCGTATTTAGGGGATTCTGATATGATTTTTTAAATAGGGGTCCGTTTTTCAATAGGTGCTCGGGATTCTTGGGTGTGGTTCCGGCTTGTCCAGATGCATGGAGCATGGTCCTTTTGACTACTAAGAAGATGCAGCGGAAGTTGGCCAGAATCGTGTGGGCTGGGTGCTGTTGGCGAGGAAGTGGCTAATTCTCTGGGAGTCAAAACCTCTTCTCACCAGGACTTCCGAAGCGGGTTGCGTTCTAAATTTCAATTCCACTGTGTTAAGGACCCACAAATTTAGTATGGGTGATACCGGTACGTCCACATTTTGTGGAACCTTCTGAGTTATAAAGGAACAAGTTAGAATTGGGACTGCATTCCGCTGCCCTGGTTTCCAAAACTTGCGGTATTTTAGGTCGATGCTACGCTGACCTTGGCGCGTGCATTGAGATGCAATTTTGACCTCCCTGCTGCTGCTCGGGTAGAAATAGAGGGAGAAGCATTGACTTGGCCGGCACCGTGATGCGTCGTTTTTCTGTGCCTGAAATGTTCACGTCTCGCCATGTTTCGGCCATACATGGCCATACCATGCCATACCATACCCCAATCTTCCGGAACCTTGGTAAATACACAACTGTGTAGCTAGATTTGCCAGGCTGAGATCTTGGAATGTATCCTCAGAAAAAACTACAAAAGAAAGTACAAACACATGGCATGTTTTACAGAGTTTTGGTTGCTTTGAATGTCCCCTTCTAGAAGTCTAGAAGGTTGATAGATGATTCTTTCCAACTGCTTACACAGATGTGACTTGTGTGGCCCGATGGGAACCTCACGCTGCTTATGATTGCGGGCCAATCCTAAAGTTGCAAGTCAAGAGTGAGTTATTGCACAAACCATCCGGCCTCGCGGGCCCTATCAGATCAACACAGACTTAACACAGATCGCAATGATCGCAGCGAAACATGTTTGTAGAAGTAGCTTTACTGCCATGTGCAGGGATTCCATTCCACACGGGTCCTTTACATCTTATGTCATGCCGATTGTGTGTCATCAGTCAGCAGTTTGACCAAATGGAATCCCAAGTCCAAGTTTGTGCAGCTTTACAGGAAGATCAATGCAAAGGTTTTCCACCTTCATTTTTTCACTCAACCTTCGCATTTTCATTCAGGACCTAGTTCCACCCTCCCTTCACTTCTTTCACATCAAACCTCAACATACCTCAACGACATCAAGCTCAGATTCTCCACGGAGTCAGGCGGTCGATGCGTACCACGCTGCCGTGCGTTTGGGTGCCTCTGCGCCGGCAGAGCTCCAGAGCGCCGAGGAGGAGCTGCTGGAGCACCGGCGGCGCCGCTCGCCGATGGCTTGTTTTGGGATGTTTTGGGGACCAAGTAGCGGACAGCATGGGGAGCGCAAAAATACATCAGGAGGAATAGGTGTTTTTTTGATGTTGTTTTTCCTGTTTAAGATTTGTTTTATGATTTTAACATCTATGTGGATCAGCCGTGGTCGAATTAAGATGAATTAAGACGTCCATTTCGCGTGGCCAGTGTGGGACGGTCAGCTTTGGTGTATGCAAGCAATGTGTTTTTCTCTTTTCTTGGAGGTGTTGGATAGGGGTTGGGGAAGAGTTGGTCCAGTTTGGTGGAATGCAAGATGCCCTATTTTGTTAGGTGAATTCCTCGTGACAGCTACGTTTCTATGCAAGTTAGGAAGAAAAGAACTGCTCACTGCAGAACATTGGGGATTGGAGGGGAGTAGTCGTCTATATTCATTGCATATGTTTGTTGAACATTCTTGAGTGGAAACAAGTTCAGCTCCAGAAGATTCATTCCAGGATGTTCAACGCATCCAGTCCTCTATTTGCGTTTATTCCTGCAATTTAGAAGTCCTTCTTTGCTTCTCAAAGCGGTTCAACACCGAACCCTAATTCAAATTCCAGACAACTTATATAACTTATATATATATATTAGAAAACCTTTTCAGCAACTGCACCATTGCACATTGCTGAAACATCTTCACCTTCGGGTTCCCATTAGCACTCAAACATTATAGTTCAGCCTCCGGCTAGGCTAGCGTACGATGGCGCCTGAGTTCAGCCTCCGGCGAGCCTCCGCACGAGGCGAGCCTCCGCACACACGACTCGACTCAAGGCCTCAAGCGTTTGCCCTCCATGGAGGGATGGCACCGCCGCTTCCAGCGACAAATCGACCGTGCCAAGCGACTGCGGAGACCGGAGTGGAGTGCTGAGAAGTGGAGATCAAACAACCTGGCCGCTATGGATCTTGGATGGATCGAAGAGGCTGTGACTGTTTGTTGGATGAAAGATCTTCACTTCCCAGTGTGTGGATTGGGAACGAAGCACGTATTTAATCGTATTTATAAAGAGTTGTTCAATGGTGATGTGGGGACATGTTGGGTCATTTGTATGTCACCATTGTTTGAACAATTATTTGCTATATTGTTTTGGTGGACTCACTTAGGGGACATAGCATATGCTGGTGCATCGGGTGGTTGGATTCAGTGGCTTACCATTGTGCTTATTTCGCCATTTATGACCGAAGTTCGGCTAAGGACCTGACCCAGATCTTCGGCAGAGGCAAGGGAAACATCACACGGGTGACTGGTAGCGCAGACTTTGGAGCTTTGTACCAGGGCACCTCTACACCTGTTGTTCTTGTTGGGGCTATGCATGGCTGGGCGGCAACTGGGAATGACCAAACCAGAACATTTTTAATTTATGAGCTGCGTTTATGAGTCAAGTATAGTCAAGTGTTGTTTGTTTTTAACTTGATGTGAAATGCATTGAAATACTGAAGCTTTGTGGGCTCAGACCACTAGCACACTTATATAACCAGAAATTCAGTGACTGCGTATTTGTTTGATGTCCGAGCATTCGCTCGGAATTACGGCGGTGGCATACGGTTCAGTGATCAAGAGATGTGGTTTTTGAGCATGCTTAGGAACAAGTGCGTCGCTACTAGTAACAAGTGCCTTACTAGTAGTAACAAGAAGCTATTAGAAACAAGCGCCTTACTAGTTCAAAGTCACGACGTCGATGAATTCAATCACTTATAGTTTCTATATGTTTCTATTAATATGCACGGTCGACTGTGCACCGGCATGTAATGACATATGTACAAACGCCCCCGGGGTATAAGATGCACGTTCATGTTTTGTCCTGTAGCGTCTCGGCTTTCAGCAGTTGGATGGCCTGTCCTGACTGTGGCCTTGGGCACAGGACAGGAGGTGCGCTGTGCTCGGTCTGTCGAGCGGTTGAGAGGATCCGCACCCTGTGCAAGGGAGGAACCCTTCTTCGTAGCCAGGAAGCGGCGGCGCTCCTGATCCTTCGAACCGCGGTGGGTGACTTGCAGGACTTGGCCGAGCTTGCAGCGCCAGTGTTGGAGGCTGAGAGTAGGGCAGCAAATCCACTACCTCAGACCGGGAGCGGGGAGGCTCCTGACGTCCGGGCCAAGGTTGAGGTTGAGCATCCACCGTCTCCGAGTACATCAGCGCCTGAGATACCCCCAGGGGACTTTGACGTGAAGCCCAAGGAGGAACACGTTGAGGAGAAGGAGCCTGTTGAGTTGGTGCGTGAGACCAAGGAGAAGAAGCAGGAGACCGAACGTGACAAGGAGGAGAAGCCGAAGAAGTTGAAGAAGCGAAAGCACAAGAGTGGCCCATCAAGGAAGAAGGAGAAGGCGAGACGTGAGAAGAAGGAGAGCAGGAGTAGCAAGGCAGCCGGTGCTGGGAGCACTGGAGTTGACTTGAGTGATCCAGCCACAAGCACTGAAGTCAAAGATCAAGTTGTTGCACGGCATCCCAGCCAGTACAACTTACGTCCCGCTCCAAAAGGGACCGTTGTCAAGCATTTCGCCCACTACGACTTACCACCACCTCCGCCTGCGCCCAAGCGGCCCAGGAGCCCAGACCACCCACCACCTGCCAGGCGTGGTTGGGAGGCCGACCGAGGTGACCGGAGACATCGTCGTGAGAGATCAAGGTCAATCGAACGTGCACCGGCGAGAAAGCGGGGCACCAAGGGAGTCAAGCACAGGGAGAGAGGCCGTTACTGGCCTCGTCGCCGCTAGAGTGAGCAATGCCGCCCAAGGCAAAGGGCGGAGCGAAAGCCAAGGCCAAGGCTCATGCCCGGGCCAAGGCTGGTGCAGCTATGAGGGTGGCGCCTTTGAGGCATCGAGGACGAGGAGTTCTACGACGACCGGCGGGCCACCCAGGAGGAGAAGGAGCTCCTGTGCCTCGGGAGCTGTGGAAGGCGGGCAGCGTGCTGCAGGCCGAAGACGTGCCACTGGTCGAGTTGGCGCAGGGGGTCGAGGTGGTTGTGCAAGAGGGCAGCTACTTCAACGGCCCTTGTCGAGTAGCAGGCATCATCCGAGGGGTCGAAGTGGACCGGGACGCCTGCCATGTTCTTCTTCAAGCAACCGGGACCGATTGCGAGAGTCTCCTACGGCATTGTTCGGGAGCACCCAAGGAGCAGCTCCGAGGGCACCTGTGCGGCGTGGCCTGCACAGGAGACAGGGTCGCCGACAATCTCGTCCATATCAAGAGGCTGCGGTTGGCCAAACCTCGAGGAGAAGAAGATCATTGGTGCCGGAACTTGGAGGCAGTAGAGATTCCCGCAGCCGACGACCTCCGCGACCTCCGGGAGAAGCGGGCAGACCTCAACGAGGAGAAGAAGAAGGAGAAGAGCCAGTCTCGGGGCAAGGATCGCAGCAGAGGCCGGCGAAAGAAGGAGAAGAAGAAGGAGCGAAGTCCGGGCAAGAAGAAGAGGAAGAGATCACGCACACCGTCCAGGGGGCGGCAGCAGAAAGATCGCGGACGTGGCAGCAAGGAGAGGAAGGCAGCGGATCAGAGCTCGTCCACCTCGAGTATGAGCATCCGGACAGATGGCACCACACCAAGAGGAGCTTCGTCGAAGGCCCTGCAAGCGCTGTTTGCAGGCACAGGGCTAGACAAGAGGGAGAAGGTCCAACGTCGGGTGGCCAGGAAGGCGAGGCGTGTGATCAGAAGGAAGAAGACCGGCAGAGGCGGGAGCACCAGCCGGAGCTCCTCGACAGAGAGGGACGAGGAGATCGACTTCGGCCAGGAGGAGGGGTTCTTCGAGGGAGCCACGAAAGTGCAAAGGGTGGCCGAGAGCTGCCCAGGCGCCCTGGGAGCCCGGTCCTTGACCGACATGAGAAGGGTTCTACTTCAAGGCGCAGGCCTCGACGAGCAGAACCAGCTGGTGACACCTACGGCCATACAGTACTTTCGGCAGGAGCTTCAGCGGAAGAGCACTGGGCCGGTGGCCCGGGAACTTCTGACGATATGCACTGCAGTCGACTGGCTGTTGCGGGGTCGTGCCGCTCAGGCGGTCGATTGCCTCCTCCAACGTGTGAAGTCGGTGGAGGCGACTATGTCGGGGAGTCACTGGAGCGTTTCCCAGAGATTAGAAATCCCACCTATGGACCTGCAAACAATTGCTCCTCGAGAAGAACTGATGAGTGCTCAGAAGGCGGCTGCGGAAGACGCCAAGACAAGGCATTTGGCATCCCTCCCGGATGGGAGGTCCCGTGGCAAGGGGCAGAGCAAAGCCAAGGAGGGAGCAGGCCAAGAGGCTGGGAGGCGAGATCGCGATCGAGGCAAAGGCAAAGGGTCCGGCAAGCAAGACAAAGGCAAGAAGAGAGAGGAGGAGGCAAAGTAGAGGCTGGCTCCTGGGTTCGGGAGCCTAACTATGAAGGAGGTTGTGGAGACCTACAGTTGAGCTGCGCTGGGCTCAGCGATGAGCAACATGGCTTGGTGCAGGAGCAACTGGGGCAGTTTTCCGATGGCATGCCAGCCGGAGTCATTAGCGCTGTGGCTGATGAGGTGCCCATGTCGGGCGCCGATGAGTTTCAAGAGTTCCCGCCAAGACCACCCTCTTTTCATGGAAGTGGTCACGAGGGAAGATCACCCGCACATGTCGAGATGACTGCGGAAAAAAGTGAGAGCGGTTTGGAACGAGTCGATTCGTCGGTTTCGGGCTCGGGGTCATTCTTGGTGCAAAAACTTCTGGAGGTCCTTCCACTTCGCAGCAAGTCCACGGGTAGGGTTGCAAGTTCCGCCATTTTGCCCTTACCCACCTCCAGAAAAGTGTTTATGCACCTGTGGCCCGGTTGTCCGGAACATGTTGTGCAATGGATCACCTGTGTTTGCTTGTCGTTGAACTCCTTTTGGGGGGACACGATCCTTTCTGAGCGGGTGCCTACAACTTTTCAGAAAAGAGCTTTGGATTTTATCAAGGAGGATGTGACACGTTTTTGTGATTTAGGTTTGCAAATGGTTGGGGTTGACTGGGACCAATTCTTCATGGTACGAGGCATCGATTACAAGGGCGATGAGGTTCGGGTTGCAAGAAGGGTCAACTGGGCCAACATTGCTCCTGCCCCCCGAAAGAGATCGGGGCGGTGCCACTTGAGGAAGTGTGCACTCTGGGGTGTCGGGAGTATGTTTGCTCCTTTGATGGGTTCATCAAGGCGCGGGAGCAATGGGGGCGGATCACCAGGCCCAAGGTCATGGTGGATGACGCTGATTGGCCACACGTCTGCACCGGCCTGCTCGAGGCGGGGGTCTGTGCCCTCATCGAGGAGGAGCTTGTCTTCCAAACAGGCGAAGGTCCGTTGCTGAACGGCATGTTCGGAGTTAGCAAGGACGAATGGACGGAGGACGGAACAGAAATCTGCCGTCTAATTATGAATTTAGTGCCATTGAACGCCATATGTCAGCCCCTTTCCGGGGACGTTGATACCTTACCCTCATGGGGAATGATGAATCCTTATTTCTTGCAACCTGGCGAAAACCTTTTGGTCTCTTCTGAAGATGTGAAGTGTTTTTTCTATACCATGAAGGTGCCTGAGGCATGGATCAAGTACTTAGCCTTCAACAAGTGTGTACCAGACGTGTGCTTACCAAAGCACATGCAAGGGCAAACTGTCTATTTGGCCTCCAGGGTCTTGCCGATGGGGTTTCTCAACTCCGTGAGCCTAGCACAGAATGTGCACAGGAACTTGGTCAAATGGGCAAGACATGATGGCGAACAGGTACACTATGAGGAGTGTGAGTTGCGTAAAGACCGTCCGTTTACGGTGTCGTCATCTTCTTGGAGGGTCTACCTGGACAACTATGACCTTCTGGAAAAGGTGGAGGCAACAGGCATGGTTGAACTGGAGGGGACTACACCTGTTGGGATCCTGGCGCTGAGGTCTGAGTACCTTCACTGGCAAGTTCCTCGTAACGCCAAGAAGGGGGTCGTTCGTTCAGCCCACTGTGAACTTCAGGGAGCGACGGTTGATGGGGTGCGTGGTTTGGCCTTCCCCAAGGAGTCCAAGTTGAGCAAATACTACAGCTTAGCGTTGAAACTGCTGCACCAACCAGTGGTGAGCCAGCGTCAACTGCAGGTGGTGTGCGGAGGCCTTGTTTACTTTGCTATGTTCAGACGGCCAACCCTGGGGGCTTTGAACGCCGTTTGGCGCTTCATCGAGAGCTTCAACGAGGCGGGACCGGTGCACCGTGCACTGCCCCACGAGTGCCGCTTGGAGCTCTTGCGGTTCTTAGGGATGATGCCACTCATCCGGATGAACTTCAGGCTAGCCGTCGATTCCATGGCCACCTGTAGCGATGCCTCGACCACTGGAGGTGGGGTCTGCTGCTCTCGGGGTCTCACCCCGGCGGGGCACATGGCAGCCAGCGGTGAGCTGAGAGGTAGGTTACCTCGCGCACTGTCGGAGCACACAGTGCTCTTGGTTGGGCTCTTTGACGGGATCGGAGCCCTTAGGGTTGCAACAGACCTCCAAGGAGTCCAGGTCATTGGATACATCTCTGTTGAGAAGAATCCTCAAGCTCGGCGGGTGGTCGAATCACATTACCCTGGAGTGGAGCATGTGGATGACGTGGCAACCATCTCTCCCGAAGTGATCAAAGGTTGGAGTCTTCGATATTCCCAGTGTAGTCTGGTTTTAGTAGGCGCGGGACCACCTTGTCAAGGAGTTTCAGGACTCAACACGGACCGCAAGGGAGCGCTCAAGGACGAGCGCTCCTGCCTTTTCTCCCATGTCCCGAGGATCAGAGACATGCTGCGGCTGGCGTTCCCGTGGGCGGCTGTTCACGTCCTGATGGAATCGGTGAGCTCTATGGACGCCAAGGATCGCGACATCATGACTCGGGGCTTTGGAGGGCAGCCGGTGCAGATTGATGCAGGCGAGATGACTTGGTGCCACCGACCTCGCCTCTACTGGACCACTTGGGACTTGGTCGAAGAGCCTGGGGCGACGCAGGTGGCGGGAGCTGAGGTCAGCTCCTGGCGGTTGGTGGCTGAACAAGAGATTCGGCATGTTGTGGCGCCCGGGTGGACCAAGGTGGTGGCCACCAAAGCGTTTCCCACCTTTACCACATCTCGACCATCCGTGGTGCCGGGTCGCAAGCCCGCCGGGTTGAAGCATTGTACACCGGAGGCATTGAGCAGGTGGCAGGGGGACCTACATCGCTTCCCGCCATACCAATATCAGGACGTGCATTGTGTTGTGAATCGGAAAGGTGTGCTACGTGTTCCCTCTGTCGCTGAACGTGAGCTTATGCTCGGGTTCCCTTTGGGGTATACTGCCAACTGCGTACCCAAGGGCGAACGCAAGCTGACATCGACCAATGACGTGCGGCTGACGCTTCTAGGCAACAGCTGGAGTGTGCCTGTCGTTGCATGGTTGCTGAACCAGTTGTTGAGGCAGTTGGGCATGGCGCCGGCGTTGGGACCTCAGGACATTGTGGATCTCTGCGAGCCGGGGGCAGCGGCATCCGTTCAGGAGCGTTTGATTCGTTTGCCTCTGTCGCATAAGAAGGGTAGCTTCGGCAAGGAGGGGGTGTTGGCCACCAAGCTGGCCAACCTCATTAGCCTCAAGGGCGAGGACATTTTACTGACCACGCCTAGTACGCAGATGGCACGTTTCCATAGGTTGCGGGCATCGGTTCCAGCCCGCCTCTGGAGATGGAGAATAGTGACTGGATGGCACTGGACCCGTGGCAAGGAGCACATAAATTCTCTGGAGATGCGGGCGATCCTCAACGCGGTCCGCTGGCGCATAGAACATCAGGGACATCTTGGCTGCCGCATGTTGCATCTTACTGACAGTTTAGTATGCTTGAACCAGTTCCCGCAAGTTGCGTGCCACGATCTCCCGCATTAACGCGCTTCTGCTCTGTAGCAATGCTCAAGTCATCTGGGCCTACGTGGCCACAGACAGTAACCCCGCCGATAAACCCAGCCGTTGGGGTAGGCGGGTTCGCACCAAATATCGGCATGCCTAAAAGGCACCTTGAAGCAGCTACAGAAGAAGCGCGCGGGAAGATACGTCGGCAGTTGGGGACGTTGAGACAACTTACGGTGCAGCCAAGCACTAGGAAGCGATATGACAAAGCCTTGCAGGGGTTTTTCTCTTTTCTGACCTCCGAAGGTTTGGATTTGCCCACGGACAAGCGGCTGCTGGACCCCATTGTCTGTGATTACCTGGAAACACTCTGGTTTGAGGGAAAAGGTCGGGCGCAGGCCTGTGATACCCTCGCAGCTCTGCAAGACTCGCAGCCAGGCCTGCGGAACAACCTGCCGGGAGCATGGCGGCTCCTGCGTACGTGGCAGGCCAACGAGATCCCTTCTCGTGCTCCGCCACTGCCAGAACACATAGTACTGGCCATGGCCGGCTGGAGCCTATTCCATGGCTGGGTCTCCTTTGCTTTGTCACTTTTAATTGGGTTTTACTCAATGTTGAGGACAGGCGAGATCCTGGGACTAGTGTCTTCACATTTCCAGTGCACTGAAGGGCAGCTGCAGGCTCTCATCTCTTTGGGCCTCACCAAAGGAGGCAAGCGGCACGGAGCTGCTGAGAGCGTAGTACTTGGGCTCGAACCCGTCGTACGGTTTTTGCGCACCTGGAAGAAAGTCGCCTCCGCGACTACCCGTTTGACCCCGGCACCGGCCAAATGGCGTGCCCTTTTCAACTCATGCTTGGAAGGTCTTGGCATCGAACACTTAGGCTTCAGGCCCTACTCCCTTAGGAGGGGGGGGGCCACATTTTGGTTCCAAAAGCACCACAATTTAGATCGCATCCTGTTGCAAGGACGTTGGCACACTCAAAAGAGTGCCCGTATATACCTGAACGAGGGCCTTAGTGTCCTGGCACAGATGAATGTGCCGAAAAATGATCCAAAGTTGAAACCTTTTCTGACTGTTTATAACAACTTCATTCAGTCCCCGAAATTCTCCACGCTTGAGCCTCCGTCCAAGGGCGGAAGGACAGGGGGCCGTGGAAGGGGCAAGGACAAGTCCAAATCCGCAAGGAAAAGAGACTATGAG